TGGATGTTCGTATCGTAGCGGATTCTACGAAGGGCTCCAGTGCCAACAGAAAGAGCAGAGGCGACAGCGGACACCCCTGTCTTGTGCCATTATAGATAGGGAAGGTGTCCGACAGAGAACAGTTCACTCTAATTCTAGCATTTGGGTTATGATACAGTAGGGCTATGCGATCCAACATGCGAGGGCCAATACCAAGATGGCGTAAAGATGCAAATAGATAGTGCCATGCTACTCTGTTGAACGCCTTTTCAGCGTCAGTAGACAAAAGGAAGCCCGTGTAACCCTGGCTCCTGATCCAGTGATGGAGGCCTATCGCCTTGGTGGTATTGTCTCTCGCCTCTCTCCCGGGAACGAATCCTGCCTGGTCAAAATCAGCAATGTTGGGGAGAAGGGGCCAAAGGCGATTGGCAATTATTATTTTTGCACACAAATTAACATCGAAGTTAAGAAGGGATACGGGGTGGTAATTCGACATCCTTCCCAGGCTTCAGCAGAACGATGATATGTGCTTCCAAAAGGTGAGCTGAATCGAGAGATTGCCGTGGAGAGTGGTCAAAGGCCGACAGAAAATGAGGGATCAGGATTCCTGAAAAAGTTTTGTAAGAGGGACGTGAACCAATCAGGGCCCGGACTCTTCCCTGGCTTGATTTGCGAAATCGCCCTCAATACCTCTCGGGTCGTGAGTGGGGCTTCCAATTCCACTATGGAGTCCTTAGCTAAGGACGGGGGACTATGTTGAGACAAGAAGGAATGGATGTAGATCTAGCATCCTGGGAGGAGGGCGCAGAATTTGGGGCGGTAAGGTTGTAAAGGTGCATATAAAAGATCCGGCATGGAGATGCTATACTTGGCGTGTCCAAATGTTTAGTCCCGTCTGCATCTGTGATTTGGGAAATGGTGCAAGAGGCAGTTTCAGAGCCCGGCTAGAAACTTACCCGCTTTATTGCCATGTTCGTAGTATATTTTGCTGCAAGCTATAAAAGCCTTTTTCGTATTGGCGTGTAGTAGATGAAGAAGGTCATTACGGGCTTGAGTCAATGACGCTAAGTGTGATAAAGCCAGAAAGTGTTTGTGAGGTTCCTCCAGAGTAGCTATGAATGCAAGCAAGGAAGAGCAATGAGCCTTCCGCTGTTTGTGGATGTGAGCTTGAATACAGAGAAGCTCACCCCTGACAACACTCTTGTGGGCCTCCCACGACATCAGCAGAGAGGAACAAGTGCCAGCATTGAGCGAGAAGTATTCAGAGAGCTTATTCTTAATCTGAGAAACATTAGCAGCCTCTCCCAATGTGGAGGGATTAAGTTTCCAAATACGAGAATGGGTAATACGCGTGTGGGATTTGATGGTCATGGAGATTGGAGCATGGTTGGAAAGGACCATGGGTTCAATCGTGGCCCCCACCAGGTTAGGCACATCACGCTGGGTGAGAAAGAAAAAAAGTCCAATCTGGAATAGCTCGAGTGTGGATGGGAGAAGAAGGTAAAGTCTTTCATGGTGGGGTGCAGGAATCCCCAAGTGTCATGGAGGTGTAGGGACCTCAGGAGTTTTTTAATCATGCATAGGCATCGGAAAGGAACCAATGACTTGCCAGAAGATATGTCTAGGAGAGGATTCAGGGGCATGTTAAAGTCGCCTCCCAAAATAAGCATCCTTTCTGTGAAATCCCTTATCAGGGAACAGATGTTACAGAAGAGGTGAACTTGCCTAACATTGGGACAGTAAATGCTAGCAATAGTCACTGGTGTTTTGCTGAGTTTGCCTTTGAGCAAAAGATAGCGACTTTCAGGATCGATCAGTTGGGTGTCAACGATGACACCGCCCGGATCCGTGAAAGGATGAGCAAGGCCCGAAAATGCGTCAGAAAGAGGAGGCAAAGCAACATGACCAATGCAATATATTCGGTTACAGCACAGCATCACCTTCCCCATAACATCAGTAACACAACATCAAATAAATGCAAAAAGTAGGAGTATGCAATAATAACTGTAGAGAGTCAACGTGAGAAGCATCCACTTCTCCATGTATATCACAGCATATGACTTCAGCCAAATTGAATACAAGCAATCACTAGAAATCATGGGGAGTAGGGGGACAAGGAGGGTGGGCAGTGGAAGAAGGAGATGGAGACCATGGGAGGAGGGTCAGGTAGGTAGGGGGGGATGAGCGGGGAAGGTAGGGGGACAGAGGTAAAGGGAGGAGGAGAGGTGGGAACCATATACAGTTGTGTGAAAAATTATTGACCATCTTCCTGATTTTTCGTTGTTTTGCACGTTTGTCACACTTTAATGTTTCAGATCATCAAACAAATGTAAATATTAGTCAAAGATAACACAAGTAAACACAACATGCAGTTTTTAAAAGGAAGGTTTTTATTATTAAGGGAAAACAAAATCCAAACTCACATGGCCCTGTGTGAAAAAGTGTTTGACTTTTGGGAAAATACTCTGTGGACTGACGAGACAAAAGTTGAACTTTTTTGAAGGTGTGTGTCCCATTACATCTGGCGTAAGAGTAACACCGCATTTCAGAAAAAGATCATACCAACAGTAAAATATGGTGGTGGTAGTGTGATGGTCTGGGGCTGTTTTGCTGCTTCAGGACCTGGAAGACTTGCTGTGATAAATGGAACCATGAATTCTGCTGTCTACCAAAAAATCCTGAAGGATAATGTGCGGCCATCTGTTCGTGGCCTCAAGCTGAAGCGAACTTGGGTTCTGCAGCAGGACAATGATCCAAAACACACCAGCAAGTCCACCTCTGAATGGCTAAATTTTTTAAAAAATGAAGACGTTGGAGTGGCCTAGTCAAAGTCCTGACCTGAATCCTATTGGGATGCTGTGGCATGATTTTAAAAAGGCGGTTCATGCTCGAAAACCTGCCAATGTAATTCTGCAAAGATGAGTGGAGCAAAATTCCTGCACAGCGCTGTAACAGACTCATTGGAAGTTATCACAAACGCTTGATTGCAGTTCTTGCTGCTAAAAGGTGGCCCAACCAGTTATTAGGTTTAGGGGGCAAACACTTTTTCACACAGGGCCATGTGGGTTTGGATTTTGTTTTCCCTTAATAATAAAAACCTTCCTTTAAAAACTGCATGTTGTGTTTACTTGTGTTATCTTTGACTAATATTTACATTTGTTTGATGATCTGAAACATTAAAGTGTGACAAACGTGCAAAACAATGAAAAATCAGGAAGGGGCCAACACTTTTTCACACAACTGTACATAGCAGTTTTAATAATTTCAAAGAGGCATGGCAGCAGAGAGAAAAAAAAATTGGTCATTAATGTAGAACTGGCAGGCGGCAGCACCAAAATCCCCAAACGAGCCGAGCATCGCCACCGACCAGCGCCACCCACAAAAGGCAGCAAATAACTAGACTAACTTAGCTCTAAAATACAATAAAATTAATTCTAGTGGAGCCAAGTAGGAGGTATAGGGGTCTGTAACTCGGGGAAGACTATTGCTTCAGGTCCCAAAAGGATGATAGGTGAACATTCAGGGATCCAGCCGAACGATACAGCAACTGTGTCAGATGGGGGATGAAATCCAGTCCGGGGAAGTAATACGGGTTAAAACGGGACATCCATGTGTAAGAGGGATGACTAGGGGGATGGAAGGGACAGGGAGAGGCTGGAAGCAATGCTGAGATTGTGTAGCTTATTCAACAAAGGATCCGGGTGGGGGAAGGATGTTGAGGTAGGGGGGGGAAGGCAAGGCAGGCGAAGTGAGCAAAGTAACTGAGATCCAAGGGAGAAGAATCTGGTAAGCGCTCAAGTCCAGAGAAGGACCAAAGATGGAGAGGTAGCAAACAATGTGTTGACGCGATTTAGGGCTGTGACGGTCCGGGTTGCGGGCAGATCGTGGAGAGGAAAGTGGAGGTGATCCATCCTGGAGCCGGAACGCTTCCTACCAATCCGGGAGTTCCACGAGTGCGAAGCTGGTCACAGAAGCGCTGCAGGTCCGCTGGAACTGTAAAGAGGAAAGTACTGCCCGAGGGAGGTGGCTGCCAGACTAAACGAGAACCGCCATCTGTAGGTGATGCCGCGTGAGCAGAGGGTTTGCAGCAGAGGTCTACAACCTATTGGATATGGTTAGCCAGTGAGTGAAGATCAGCTTTAAGTTCCGAAATCACTGCTGATAGCGTGGATTTGATGTCCAGGGCTATCGAATTAAGATCTGACATACGAGGCATTTGGCCCATAAGGGTTATCAGGTCTGCTGGAAACGGCATGCCCCAGGCGTCAGCCGATAAGATTTAGACAACCCTGCCTAGGTTCGTGTGCCACCAGAGGGGCCTCTGCGTGCCCCCTGTGGCACGTGTGTCATAGGTTCACCATCACTGGCAGAGGTAATGATCTAAAGCAGAGCTGTGTCTTCCAATGAAAGAAAGAGAAATACCATTTTTTATTCACAGTTCACTAATTTGGCAGTCAAAAAAAAAAGTTTTATTTACAAAAAAGTATTTCAGTGTTCCCAGAACTTCTCAGATGGATTCCGGACTATTGATTCAGGATTACAGCTGTATAGCATCAACTAGATGTATGATGTAACAAAGGTGTCAACATACACACGCAAAAATGCAGTAAACCAGATCTATAGTCTGTCAAAGCTTTAGATGTTAATAATGTTTGAGAACTACTAGACAGTCATAAAGTGGTTAAATAGGTTCACATAAGGATCACTTCCTTGTTGGAGCCCCATTAAAATATGTAGCATTCCATGTTTAAAAGCAAAACAAAAAAAACACAACAAACCTAAGGAAAAAAAAACGTAATATATTCCAAAACACCATTACATAAAACCCTGTGTGTTGCCTCCCAAAACACAGAGCTTGATGTCAAGAAGATTTCAGCAAGCTCAAACACTGAGGAAACCAAATTTTAAAAGAAGATACTACAGCATAGTGATGGTGTGTCTTCTTGCTAGATTTAGAATCCTTAACATTTCCACAGCATTGTTGGCAGAGTTTAACACACACCTGGGAACATTACACTTACCCAAAAACAAAGGATTTGAAGGGTGAATTCTTATAGATGTACTGAGCGAGCCACCACTGAACAGTCATGTTCCAACAACGCATTCCATCCTTCACCTTCACACAGAAGTCTGCTCCATAGCAATCTATGTTTTTTATTGTCTCATAGTCATACTCAATGTCATATTTCACTCCATCTGTACTTCTACAAGATTGAAATAGGCAGAAAAAAACTCTTAAAATTAGCAGAAACAAACACTTTATCTGCAAAGTACAGATTTAACAAATTATTTTCTTTTAAAAATGTAAATAATCCCTTTAACACATTTAATAAAATCTCATACATTTTAACATATTAATGCAATTTTAAAATTGTTTTCAATCCCTTTTGTAATATGCAATATTGTTAAAAGAATACCTGGACACCCTGCCATAAAAGGTAGTTGTTTAGGCACTTATTATTACATCGAGGAAAATAATGATTTGATCCCCTGCAGATTTTGTAAGTTTGCCCACTTAAAAGAAATGAAAGGTCTATAATTTTTATCATAGGTGTATTTTAAAATGATGGAGACAGAATATCAACCAAAAATACAGAAAAAAAATATGATACAAATGTTATAAATTGAGTTTCAGTTCAGTGAGTAAAATAAGTATTTGATCCCCTACCAACCAACAATAATTCTGGCTCCAACAGACTGGCTATGTGGTACATAGATTAGTCCTGTCAATTTTAGAAGGTGCTCTTAACGACAACTCATTATGTATATAAAAGACACCTGTCCACAGAATCTCTTTCTTCCATTCAAACCTCACCCCCATGGGCAAGACCAAAGAGCTGCCCAAGGACATTAGGGACAAGATTGTAGACCTGTACAAGGCTGTAACGGGCTACAAGACTATCAGCAAGAAGTTTGGTGAGACGGAAACAACTGTTGGAGGGACTATTTGCAAATGGAAGGAATACAAAATAACCATCAATCGCCCTTGGTCTGGAGCGCCATGCAAAATTTTGCCTCATGGATATGGATGATCATGAGAAAAGTGAGGGATCAGCCCAGAACTACACGGGAGGAGCATGTGAATGACCTCAAGGCAGTTGGGACCACAGTCACCAAACCATTGGTAACACAATACACCGCCATGGATTGAGATCCTGCAGCGCCCGCAAGGTCCTCCTCCTCAAGAAGGCACATGTACAGGCCCGTCTCAAGTTAGCCAATGAACATCTAAATGATTCAGAGAAGGATTGGGAAAAAGTGCTGCGGTCAGATGAGACCAAAATTGTGCTTTTTGGCATTAACTCGACTCGCCGTGTTTGGAGGAAGAAAAATGCTGACTATAACCTTAAGAACACCATCCTTACAGTCGAGCATGGAGGTGGAAACATTATGCTTTGGGGCTATTTCTCTACTAAAAGGTACAGGCCGACTTTGCCGCATTGAGGAGCCAATAAACGGGGCCATCTATTGTAAAATCTTGGATGAGAACCTCCTTCCCTCAGCCAGAACACTGAAGATGTGTCGTGGATGGGTCTTTCAGCAGGACAATGACCCAAAACATACCACTAAGCCAACAAAGCAGTGGCTCACGAAGAAGCACATTAAAAGGAAAACTATGGGTTCAGGGCTTTTCCCCATAGTTCCCTAAGGGTCACGGGAGAACGCAAACTGGCGTTCTCCCATGACCCAAAGCTCAGTATACCGCGAGCTGTGACCCCGCAACTGGAACGGATCCCGACATTGCTGTCAAGATCCACCCAGCTGCGGGATTGACAGCTGGCTCTGCCTATCCAGAGGTAGAGCCAGCTGTGCCCGCCTCCTCCCCGTCCGTTCCGCTGGAGGATCGGACAGGGGAAGGGGGGGAATCCCTGCAGGGAGCCGTGTGTGACAGTCATGGCTCTCTGCAGGGATAGATCGAGAAGTGAGCGAGCAACGGTATGTGTTCGCTCACTTCCCGATCTACTGAGCCGACCTGTGACAGTTTCATTGTCACAGGTCGGCTCAGATTATGAGGCTGAGTGAAAATCACTCGCCTCATAATTCTCCTTTAAGGTCATGGAATGGTCTAGACCTTAAATCCTATAGAAAATGTATAGAGGGAGCTGGAACTTCGAGTTGCCAGGGCCGTGGCTTGCACATGGCCAAGTGAAGATGTGCTCTCTTCCAGCTCTCTGAGAGACATTTCGCCTTCATAACACAACATTATCCAGGTCATTTTGCCAAAACTGGGAAATCCAAACAGCAGGGAGAATGGTGGATACCCAACGCTCTCAAATGGGACCAGTGTTAATTTGGTCGACTAAAATGTTTGGTCATAGTTTTCGTCATCTGCATGTTTTCACTGATGAAAACTAAATAAAAACTAAGTTAATAGGACTGAAACTTTGATGAAAATACATTGCAATTTTCTGTACTGGAGATTTAGTGGACAAAACTAAAAAAATAATTCAGATGACTAAAATGCGACTAAAACTAAAATGCGTATTTTAGTCATCTGAATTCTTCTAGTTTTGTCAACAGTTTAGTTTCATGTCTCAGTTAATACACCATGGCAAGATTGAGCACAGCAAAAAGACACAAGGTAGTTATACTACATCAACAAGGTCTCTCTGAAAGCATTCCTTATTTGTGAAAGCATTCCTACTTTACAGCATTTTTCCACACCTGCCTAAAACTTTTGCACAGTACTGTATTTCCAGGCAACTGTTTTGCAAAACACCACTGAGCCTTCTGACCGCTTACCCCTGACAGCCAGGGCAATGGATCTCCAGGACTATATCCTCTCTTTGTCCAATAGGAATGACTTAGGAATGACATTCCATACAGATGGGTCTTTCCTTTATGGCTACAAACCAGATACAAAAATCGGCAGATGGTTATTTTTCAATCAATTGAAGAACTTCCTTAATTTCTGCAACAGTTGGAACTGCCTGAAATCGCTCTCCCACACTGGTCCTAACTTATCTACCTGCTGCTCCACTAACCAACTACAACTTGGCAGGCTAGACACAGCCTCCACAATTCCAGAACCGTTAGATATATCTGCTTAACTATCCCGGCCAGGGGCGTAACTGTAAGGAAAACAAGGCATTTGTCCTGGGGGGGCACTTTCTAAGGGGGCAGCAAAAAACGCCACCCCCGAATCAAAGAGGCAGAGCCTCACCTGCCATTACTGGTATCGGCATACTCGTACTTGTGAAAATGCCCCCATACTAAGCGCTGATACCGACGCCTTACATTTTTGAATAAAAGCGGCTGCCCTAAGGTCCCGCGCTTGGTGGGGACCTCGCGGCACTGCTTACAGCACCGGTCCACACATGGCCTCCTTCGTCCTCCCACCTGCATAGCCATAGGGTGACTGCACATAACCCTGGTGAGACTGCAAAGCCTTAGAAACGCTGAACATGGACCTGGTGAGACCCCACAGCCTTGGTGACAACGCACAAAGCCCTGGTGACACTGCACAGCCCCGGTGACGCCGCACACAGCCCTGGTGTAACACAACAGGTATTTATATGGATATCACAGCTGCAAATAGTATAAGTTATACATAGAGTTAATGTATTGTGTGCAACTTGAATAATAGCAATGATGGCTATATTACTTCATAAGCCACCAGAGCTTAACACAAATTTTCCGCTTCAGCTAGAGGAGTTAAACTAGGCTACAAATAAGCATACGGCCACAGTTCAGTCCCAGGTGTACTTTAGCTCAAGCTCTTACTTGAAAGATGACAGCTTATTTTTAACATAGAAGCTTACTTCACTTCAGCAATACCAGTTCATACTAAATAATAAACGAAATATAAGGTAACAGGTATCTGCGGTTCAGTGGAAGAGTCCAAGGTCTTATCTGTAGCTGTGGTGGAAATTCAGGGAAGACCCATGAGAGATGAAGGATCCAATTGTGTAGCAGTCTATCCAGAGGGAGGAGTGGTTGCTACTCGCAGCAACACAAATAGCATGGATGGCAGGAGTTCCAATTGACTAGCCAGAGCTAGATGGACTTGGTATTCAGCTCAGGGAAGCGGATGCAGAGCGGGATCCTCCTTGTGAATTAGATATTGTAAAAAATGTGGATCCGCGCTTTATGGGTAGCCCTGATATTAAAGCAGCTGCGCTCTCAATCCTGGGGTCAAAATTTGATAAAGTGTAAATTGTGCAGCGCTAGAAAATAAAGTGCTTGATATAAATAAATATAAATATATATATAAATTAGGTAGTATAAAAAAATCTATACTATTCAGTATATTATTGAATGCACATACATAACATAGTAATAAGGCTTCCACTATGAAAAAATAAAGTGCAAAAGGAGAGCTGGTACATTGGCATAAAATTGCCCGGGTATTTGACCCATATTTACTAAAGTAGTTGCCATAGCAAACTAACAAATCATCATTGACTAACAAAAACTGGTGTGCTGGTGACATTATTCCTTTATTCTGTGATTCACACGGTGCCTTCCGTGGTCACTACAAGCACCCACCCAGCTTGGGGTTACTCTGGTTAGGAGTGCAGCAAGACATCCTGTTTTTTATTTGTTTGAAGTGCTCACAAGAGTGAAAAGATTATATAATATATCTTTTAACACTGTATATAATTGTGATACTGAATATTTTACACTGTGGACACACTTTTTATTTATAACTATTTAATCAGATAGACACTGAATAGTATATATTCTTTACATTACCTAATTTATATATATTTATATATTTATTTATATATATTTATATATTTACATATTTATTTATTTCAAGCACTTTTTTTCTAGTGCTGCACAATTTACACTTTATCAAATTAGATATTGTAGTTTGTTCCTTTTCAACCTGGAATTTAAGAATCTCTTGCACCTCATATTCCTCTTGACCATCAACTAAAATTGGCGATGAAGGTGGTGGTGAACAGTTTGGGAAGGAACTTTGTATATGTGGCTTCAGTAAGGATACATGAAAAGTTGGGTGCATCTTAAGATCCTCTGGTAACTTAAGGCGGACAGCAGATGGGTTGATGACTGCTTGAATAGGGAACGGACCAATACATAAGCTGCTGAGTTTCACAGCAGGTGTTCTTAGCTTTAACCAGTTTCTATGGACCCGCTGATCGCCTATATGTGAAACACCCGGTAACGGGTGTGTGCATTGATCGGGTCTTTTCTGCCCGTGCGTGCCCGCTAGGGGGGCGCGCGCGAGCAGAAAAAA